TTCATTTGTACGGGCAAAGCTGGCCAGGAATAAACGAATGACCGAACGGATGAAAATCTCTGCCGTGTCTCGATGCACCGCTTGTTTGCGAGAATGAAAACGAGACGGCACGTCGGCGTCGGTTTAATCAAGCTGCGGCTAATTCGCACCACCGAAAAATCTACGAGTTTTCGTCCCCAGGTTTCTGATAAATACGAACCAGCGATTCAATTTTTAACCCGGCCTTTCGTGCCTGGCCGCGTTCGGGATAAAGATTTCCCGGGTGTAATAGCGTTTATCCCGTGTACCCGACAAATCCGCAAGGTCTACGAGCGGGTCTCGACCGACAGGCTGGTTTAAGTCACTTAGGATCGGATCGTTCGGTATGCTGCTCGAAAGAAGGATAGGAAAGAAGCTGGAATCCAATCAATCATTATCGTTAATCCATCGTCTAAGTTAGAGAAGGAGATCGGTTGTTTGCAGGCCTGGCGTGGCTTAAGGATTGCACTAAGGGCTGAGGATGTGCGGTCTGAGTCTTAGAGCAATGGAGGGTGCGGCTGCCTGTAGCATGATCCTCCCTAAGCCGAGGCTAAGAGGCTATTAGTTAGCTCTGCGAGCAGCGACGTAACCCCAAAGACTAACACGGTACTTACACCTTCCTGCTTCGTAGAGATCGCAAGATATTCAACCAACTAGTTCTCGGAGTATGTTTGCACGACATGGTAGGTGAGACTGGCGATACTTGGGGAATAGCGTCGCCGTGCAAGATCAACGATAAGAAATTAATATTAAAACAAACTTCACGAGCATCGGTTCCAGTGTTCGCCGCCAAGCAATTAGAGATACAATCAACTGCTCTCGGATTACATGTAAATGTATTCTCGGCGGGAAGAACTTGGTCGAAAGTAAATGAATTCGAAAAGAGAGGGAGAGAGAAAATGGAATGGAAACAGCAATTCGGTGTATAATAATTTCTCTCTCAGATTCTTTCATTTTTTCTCTGAGAAATTTCAGAAGAATCGAAGATTTACCGAATTTTCGAAAATTTGACTGGAATTGTTCGGACAATTTGATAAAGAGAGGAAAGTATTTTCTATTCTGTTCGCGTTAGTTGTAAATTATATGTAAAACATATTCTGACAGGATGAACATTATTATGAATCGACAAACTATCGAAGAGCCATGCATTATGCACGACTCCTGAAGTCCGTCGCAAGCATCTAATCTCACCCTTTGACCCTTCTCCCCGCAGCATTTAACCCATATACCCCTCCGTACATCAGGAAATCTCGGCAAAGCCGATTAGTAGTCAGAGCACGTCCGTTATTAGCCATTCGGCCGGATGTGGTCTAAAACTACTGAAATCAAACTTGCCTCGATTCAAAACGATCCTCGTTGCTAATTTCTGGGATGACTCAAATTGAATAAAAGATAAGAACTTTACCTCCTCGCGCGGCTCGCCGAATTTTAATGGTACTTCATCGACAAATGGAAAACTCGATCGATAGAATTAAATTTCGCCCGTTACCGAGAAGATTCTCCGATGAAAAGTTATCCCGTCAAAAGTTGTGCCGTCTGTTTATCGAGTATAAAATGGCGCGATGCTACGACGGGATGCGGACGAAAGGGAGAACGAGGGGAAATGGGCGAATACGCGAACAAAGCAAAAACTTGGATTAAATAAAAAATCGTCCAATACGGTCGTGTTCTGGGCAATCATAGTGCGCTCGCGTTTCGTCAAAAATAAAGTCCAAATGGCGCAAAATAAATGCCGAAATGGCCGGCTCGCGTGCAGCTGCAAATGGATCTGAATTAATTAAATTAATGCTCAGTCGTAGCCGGTTGCAATGGTCGGTCATTGGGACCACGATCGAATCCATAGACCGTACGAAATGGTACGGCACTGAAAGGATACGTAGTTACCCCTCGGTTATCGTCCTTTATTCTTTTCATTTTTCAGCGGTACACGCGCTGTTTTGTTCTCCGCTAAAAATACAAAAGAATCTTTCATTCGCTTTTAAATATTTCACGTTTTCCCTCGTTGATATTTCATCGAATTAGAAGAACGACGAAAGAGCGCAACGGGATCTGCTCCTTTGTCGTTGGGGGAGTTTACCTCTCGTCACGAGGGACCGAAACGAGCGTTCTTAAAATCGATTGCTGTTACCGATTTTCAGCACGTACGACGACAAATTTTCGGGTGCCCCCCACCTCCGGCCGGGGTCTCGGGGATATTTGCAAAAGCACGTTTAGCAAGAATACCGGCGCTGCACCGAGAAACGATGATAAGAGGTGAACCGGAGAACGTTAAGTTTAGAAACAAGCGCGATCGTAAAAGTTGCAAACTCGAAGCTGAGCTGGCCGACGAAGCGAAAAGCGGGTGGGACTGGTACTAAATATGAATCATAAAAGAAGCATAAAGATAATTGTATGCTAATAGGCAGCGCGTATGCGCCACGTCGCCCAGAACAGCTCAACATCTCCCGTTATTACCTACGTAGCTGCGTTATACCACCCACACGCCAGTGCGCCTCGCTGTTTCTCATCGTACAATTTCCGTGATACGACGTTGACACGAGCTAATTCTGTGTGATCAAGTTTTCCAGACGCAGCCATGCGGAAAGAACGTATAACCTCCTGGGTCCCGACCCTATTTCGTAATGCCTGTAAGAACTTTTTAAAATACCTTTTCATCCGACGTACGCTTGCTTTTAAATCCATAGACCTTGAGCGAAATTAAAAATCGAAGAGAATTCGAGATTCGACGCGATGCTTGGTAGCCGACTAAGCGATGAAATTTCTACCCGGATCCAGTCCCGTTCGTAGCAACGGTTAATTCCATCGGAAAAGTTCATTCTCGGAACTCGGTAAAATTTCGTGGAAATTCTTCGAACTTTCGGCCGGGCTCTCGAATTCGCGTTAAAAATAGAGAGAATCGAGCAGTCGAATTTATCGCTTGGAACAAAATGTCCAACTATTCGCGAACAATTCGGGATGCTCTTTGAAACTCGGAAGAAGGATGAAAAAGGTCGGAATGAAAAAGAATGGATAATACGGGGCAGTGACCAGGAATATGTGGAGTGTGGTTTTTCACGAGCTCCTGAATCGAGAACCGGGAAATCAAGAAGGATCCCCTTGACCGTGTCGCCGACTTTTACAGTCGATCGTCCCGAGAGCTTTTACGAGCCTTGACGAGAAAGTACCGCCGCGATGTGTAAACCATGAGCCTTTTCGACAGCCGCTCGAGCCTTTGAAGCTCTCTCCTTTTCTTCCGGCGCTGAAGCTAAAGGAATGGAAAATGGAGCAGCCAAGGACAGCCTTGAGAATCGTATCCCTTTCAAGGCGCTCGAGAGTAGCTTTTAAACAAGGTAACTCGGATATTTTCGAGCAGTTAAATACCAGCTACGGAAGGATTTATACGATAACGCGATGGCGGTAAAAGAGCAAGTTTTCGAATTTCTTAGTTATACAGGGGCGGTCGTTATGTATCATCGTTAGTCGGAGTTTAATGGCACAAGTTCTGGAACAGATTTGGCAGAAAGAGGAAGCAATTATACAGAGTGCAAGGACATTAACAGTTAGATAACAAGCGATCCTTTGTCTCACCGCGAACGATCGGGGGTTCTACCGTGGGATAAGGAAGCTACCTAATCGAATTTTCCGAAACTTGTTATGAACTGATTTGCCACGGCGTGGTTCCTTTGAAGACCGGCTCGCTCGCAAAATACCAAAGTGAGAACCGCACGGGCAATTAAAGATGAACAATGCCACATCGGTGTATAGTCGTGGATGTTCTCGAAACTATGTCCGGGCGCAAGCTCCACTCTTCTCCGATTCGCTCGCCGAGAGGACCCATCGAATTCTCCGGCTTAAGTTTCCGGTTGTAATTTTCTCTTCCGACCCAAGTGGCACGAAGACGCGACCCGGCCATGATAAAAGTGAGGCAAAGGGAAAACTGCCACTTTGTGCTCAAAGCGTGGGGCGCGACGTCACGTGCAACCAATAGCCACGGGCAAGCTTTATAGGGACAAACGAGGCCACTTTAATTTACGAAACTTGCTCGACATGCACGTCCAGGACACGTTGATTTACTAACGTAGCAGAGACTAAGCGAAGCGATTCGACAGGAAAACCGAACAGACATCGGGGATCGTGTGCGTGAGCTACCTACAAAGGATACCAGCGGTCCTGTGATCGGAAGCTGTCAATATTTGTCCATGTCCGGTAACCGAGTAGCGAGCGATGAACCGTAACGTCATCAATTATCTCTTACATACCACTGGTCAAGCCTGATGTCAAATTTCGTCTGTTTCCTGCCCCGTGCACGAGATGCCACGATTGCAGCAGACCTCGCGTGCCGTTACCCTCTCTCTCTCCTTCTCCTCCATCCTTCCACAGCCACCCATTCGCTCTCCATTGTCTCTCTTTCTACTTACCTAGAGAGTTGGCCAGCCAGATTTGAGTAAACCGATGGAAATTGTCTCTAGACCGCCGAGAACAATAATGACCCAGTCGAAATTCCGCTTCGCTGCAAATTGCTCGAGCGGAATGTCGAGACTGGTGCTCCATCGTTGAATCGATACTTGGCCCGTATCATACGAGCGTGTTTCGTTCTCCACGCGTGGAAGCACTCGCTGACTCGCGCGAATATTCCCCGGGGTAAATCGGA